TATATCTTGTGCTCTTAATGTGTTTGATTTATGCATGATGTGATAGGGGATGTGAAGCGCTTTGCGTTGCCTTGTGTAGGAAAGGCGCTCTACAAATAAACGTTGATTGATTGATTGATATACAACCACACGCATGCAAAAAAAAGCAGGATAAGTATTGAGACCCAAAATATATTGTTTTATCCATCAGTTATTCTTTAAAGTAGCAGGACAACACACAGCTTTTTATACTGGGGAGAAAAACACAACTTTAGTCAAAACAGTTTATTCATATTGGTGATATTGAATTCATCATGCAAGTGGTGCCATCATTAGTAAGTTATTAAGTGAGTAATCTATAAAATGAAGATTATTTCATTGACACTGGTGCCATATTTTTACGAATGTTAATTGCACTGGTCAACTGGTCAAAAGCCTAAACGTATTATCACACCCAAGATATAACTACAGGACTTAATAATAATGTTATTACAAAAATTTAAGTCAGCTACTTTTCTTGTTTCCAAAGCTGATTTTGAGACTTTCCGGATTGAGCTGAGGATAAGCTTTATGTTATGATTGTACTTATTTCTCTTACTGTGAGCAACCAAAGCCCTAATGTATGCTGTCATCATTCTCTGGTTTTATTTAGTAAGTCGGTCAGATGCACCCGCGCAGGAATGGTGTAATAGCACAGACTAGTGGTGAGTTAAGAGAAAAGCAGGTGGAGGAGCTGCTCTTGATCAATAGATGCTTAATAATCTGCCAATATTAAAATTTAATTCACCTATTTTTATTATAAGACACATGGGTGCTTTATTCTATTGTTAGAATGTTTTTCTACATTGAAAGATGTGAACTAAAATAAATAACACAAATTGGGTTATATGCTGGTTTATAAATTAGATTTCTAGTTGAGTTTATTTGCCATTTGCAGTAATACCACATTGGACTACATGTGCAAAAATCCCCAGTGTGTACCGGACAAGTACTAAAAAAGTTGTGAATTATCCCCATAAACCACAACAATACAATAAGACCCAGCCCCAATGCCTTATTTAGGCTACAATTTGTACCTCAATTGGCCTGTATGAGAATTCATTTTGAAATATTCTTGATACAGATGTTTCTGTACGAGGGAATGGTCTGCAACCCTTTTTACCTGTGTGCATTTGTTTGGCAAAAAAGGTTGCCCTGTTCTGTCACTTACAAGAAGGCCTGTGAAGTCAGTTGACATGACATATATTGATACAAGTTGAAAAGTTTATGCTCTGTTTGGTTCTGAAAGCTTTGTGTTCCTAATCCTTGTTCTCTTCTCTTCCCCCTCCAAATCTCTGTACCCACCCACAGGAGAATTCTAGAGGGATTTCTTGTTCTTTCGATCCTCAAGAATGAAGCGGCACAGCAGACCTGTGTACTAAAAACAGGTACGTTTTAAAATATCACATCGACCTTAACACCAGCACGCAGTGTAGAGTCTGTCAGAAGGAGAAGGAGGACTTTCGGCCGGATGTGCATGATATGATTACTGCAGCTAAAAGGCTGTAGCATGTCTTTTGAAGAGGCCACGACAAGCAACAAAATAAAGAGGAGTCCTGAGAACTCTTTGGAGAGAGATGTGTCCTCTGGGATGCAGTGGGCGAGCAAAAACACTGAGGAAGGGATGAAAGTTTAACCAAAGAGCCGCTCTCCCTCTAAAGCAGCTGTAGTCGCTGTGGACAGACCAGGGACTCGCAAAGACAGACGGATAGACATGACAAGACAGAGGAGCAATCCCCAGCTGTTTTTAAAACGCTGCCTCTGATACATTATTGAATATGCAGCTCCAACGCATCACTGAGCTTTCCTCTCATGTTAGTGCTGCCGGAGTTTGCATAGCGTCACTGTTCTAAATATAAAACATTCGCTCACCCCTCTTTGGATTGTTAAATGATGCAGGGGCTGCACGTAGGCCGCTCTTTTAGTTTTATAAAGCGGCCCCTGTCTAGTCTCTGGATGTATCAAAAAGACTATTAATCAAAGTTGGATGTGGTTTTTGATAGACCAGACACGGCTACCTCAACGTGACTATTATGTGTTTTTCAAATTTGCATAGTTTACATGAGGTTATGTAAAAGTATATTTGAAATCTGAAGCATTCATTTGTAAATACTAAAAAAATACATGGTTCATCCTACAGGTGGCAGCAGAGTGACATATCCAACATGCATTTTCTCACTTAGTGCCATTTTACATGAAAATCTCGTTCAGGTTTTATTGCACATGATGTCCGCCGGCCTCATAAGTCGTTTTGTTAATAGAACATCAAATTTATGAACTTGCAATAAAAAAAAAACATTCTGTCTTGTCTCGTTTTCAGATTCCTCTTTCGTGCTACAGTTTCTGAGCCATGCACAAAGGTACGTTTAAATTCTGCCTTTATGTTAAGTGTGAGCGCCCCCACTATTTGCAGACACCTGTGGTCAGTGCGGCTCTTTCCCTTCCGCAGTTGTAGCGCCATGATTAAACTGCAATCGCTCCGTGTAATGTTACTATAGTGATTGTGTGAGAGAGTTGGGGAGGCCATCGTGGCTCTGAGGGGGAGGAATAGGAGATGAAGTGCCTGGTGCGGTGGATGTGCTTTTGTGTCTGATGTGTGCAAAAGGGGATGTGCTTTTTTGATGTTTATGTGTTTGTGTTTTTGAAGAGACTCTTATCAATTATGAGTTTGATGGAGATAACACTGTGAAATGTGCAGTCAATCAAGCAGGGCAGAAGATAGGAGCAGCCCTGGCAGTTAGAGCGTGGGTGCAGTAACTGAGTGGCTCCTTGTTCATATCACTTATCACTGAAGTTGTCACGTCACTGAGCTGTTACAAGCCAAGACGTGCCCTTTGGCTTTTTGATGCCACAGAGAAAAAGCCTGTGCTTACTAGGGGCACAGTGGCTGAATTGGTTGCGAGAAGTCCATGGGTTTGATTTCAGTGTAGACTTGGGGTTTTCTGTGCGCTGTTTGCGTGTTTCTTACTTTGTCTAATTTGGTTTCCTCCTGGCGCTCAGGGTTCCCTCACCAGCCAAACACATGTACCATAGATGGATTCCCCCAGCTAGTAATCCTGACCAAGAGCATCAACCTATCTGGAGATATGTCCCTGGGTGCTGCACTGGGGCGAGAATGAGTCAAAAAGATAATAATTTATTTACTTGAAGGACTGGTAGACTTCAAGTAAAGTGAAACATCGTATCATTGTCTTCAAATAATAATTTCCACTGGGGGCGACAGTGGCTCAGTTGGTAGAGCATAACCTTTGAGCCTGAAGGTCGTGGGTTTGAGCCCACCTCAAGACCCTCTCCACCGCCTCCCACTCAGGTCTGCTGTCGTTGTGTCCTTGGGAAAGACACGTAACCTCACTTTGCCTGAAGCCCCCGCTGAAAGATCAACAAAGGCGACAAAGGCTGTGTTGTCGCTGACAGAGCAGCCGTCCTCCTGTGGACTCACCACCTGCAGGAGGATCAGTGAGGGGCTGGTGCTCTGTGACTAGGGTTGCATCTCTGACTGCCACCCCCCCTGCCCAGAAATTGAGAGTAGAAAATGGATGGATGGATGGACATATATTCAAAGAAGTTTACCTTAGATGCCCTATGACATTTAAATAATAAATACTATAATTAAAAGTAGAAAGTGTCAAAACTTTATTTTTTACATTTGACACTTTATTTTGGGCTCATTTATAAGCCTTTTTAAATAATTAGTGCACAAATGTAAGTTGCTCTTTCTCTTGACAGTTCATTAAGACATAATCATAAAATAAAAAGAAATGTGTCAAATGTTACCAAAGAAACAAAAGAATTCCTTGACAGTAAGGATTAGATGTGTGCTGTTATAAACATATCTTGTCAGCACCATTTAAATGTTTTAAACTGAATTTTGTAGTTTATAAAACCTCCAACCATATGGAAGTAGCACACTTATCAATTGCATGATTCGGGGTAGAATATTGAAAACCCATTTCTGAATAGTTTCCATGGATATATGTATGCATATCTAATTTATGGCATGCTGTGTAAAATGATTACTGAAGCTCAACATAAGCATGGAAACAGGAGAATGACCTGATCTAGAACCAATTTGGATCAGGTTTGTGGAGATGAAGACCTCCTCACAGTAAGGAAGCTTGTTTTTGTTTTTGTTTCTATATGTTCTGGGGCCGTGTGGCTTGTGGTGTATGGGTGGTATCTACAGAAAGAGCAGCCTGTATATTGCGATGTGCAGAAATGCTTTTGCTTCACTGTAGGATTACTTTTTTGTGTGACAGACTGATGATTGTGTGGATGTAGACTTTGGGTGCGTTCTCTTTAGCCCATGAAGAGAACTCTGGTGCACTAAGGATTAATTCAGGTTCACTTGGGGCAAGGGTTGTCCTGGTTTCTGATGTTGCTAAACATGTTGATAGTAACAAATACAGTAAAAAAAAAAGAAAGACTGTATTATCTCTATGGATTACAGGGCCTGAGGTGTAGGGATCGTAGGTCTTACTTTAGGTTCCAAAAATCAGCC